GTGAATCCGTAGGTACAGAAATGAGGACAAGAAATGATGGATTTCTTTATAGCTGAAATGCTTTGATCATTGTCTATGCACATTTACTGACTCTATTTTAAGCTCATGGCAAATGAGTGAGTTTCACGTCTGTATATATCTTTATATAAAGATTGGATATGGTGCTTTACTGGGTATCTAATCAACCTTTTTTCACAGACTCACATATTTCTTTGCCAAGGCTTTTATGCCCTTAGCTCAAATCATAGTCCAAATGCAATCTAGGTCTGCCCGATGCCTGGAAAAGAGACTATCTGCTAAACCCAAATTTCTGTTTTTCCCCAGCTAATTAAATACACTTGACATTTTACACCCTAGAAATTCTACCATGGATGTCCATGTTTGGAAAAGAATCTAAAGTTCTTTTCAGTGCTGCCTGCAATATAATGGTAGCCACATTTTAAAATGGCTTTAAAAAGAGATAAATGAGAAGATTATTCCATTAGCCATATTTGCTAAATAGGAGCTCTGTTTACACTCAGAAATCAGTAGCTCTGAATATCAAAAATGGTATCAAATAGTGAAGAGCAGGCTACTGCATTTGTATCCTATTTGTAGGAGTTCTACAGGCATCCTCTCAGCCACTGTGGGTAATAGGATTTTGGATAAAAAGATCAGTAGCCCTTCTGGTGTTAACTTCTTATGTTCTCAAGAATGAATATTTCCCTGTGAGTTTAAACATACTCAAGGCTGAAGTAGAAACAATATTATTTATTATCTTTTTATCCAGTTTTGACATCCTAAAAATAATCTCCAAACTAGGTGTTGGCCATTAGCACATACTTCTTTTATTTTCTACATAGCAGCCATGAGGAAGTGTGAGCAGACTCGGGACCATGAGAAAGTTTAGCTCTTTCTTTCTCTGCCAAAGTTTCAAGCAAAAAAAAAAAAAGCCTCTTGAAAGATGTTATTTGTATTTCAAGGGAAGGTCACATTGGTGCCCGAGAGGGATTTCGTTGAACTTTAAAAGCCTTTTCTGTTGTGGCACCTGCTGTTTGGAACAATCTTCCCCCGGATCCCAAAATTCAGTTGGCCCTGAGCCTTTAGGAAAAGTTTGAAAACTTGGTCCCCCCACCCCACCCCACAGCCTTGGGCCAATGGATGAGCCCATCTTTGGGTGGGGGAGTGTGTGTTCCATGTTACTGCTGATTTTGCTTTATTTTTGTTGCTATTGTTGGTTTTAATTATAATGTGAGTTTTCCTTTGGTTTTATTGATGTACGCTGCCCAGAGTCATGATTGTGTGAGTAGGGCAGCCCTATAAATCTTTTATGTAAATAACGAAATGGCAGTTTTAGAAAAGCTTTTTCTCAAAATAGTGACAGGGAAAGAAAAAATCCCTCCCCCCCAAATGCACCTTCCACAGTTTTCCTTGTAGTTACTATGAGTATGATAAAAATCTGTATGGCCCTTTTCTGGCATTCATGTAATTACATCATGTTAAGTTTGGCTCCTCCTTGTGAGTTGGACTAAAGCAAATGCAGCAGATAAACTAGTTGTAGGATTAGAATACACGGCAGCCAAGCCAAGGGGAATTACATTGTATTGAAATATACAGCTGCTTGGCAGTTTTTAAGATTCTGCAGCTAGCTCTTTGTTGATTCAAAACAGGCTTCATAATCTTCTACCAGCTGTCCAGCTTGTACCAAAACAAAATAGGACTTCTTTGATCACTGTAGAACTGCTCATTCTTCCGGGACACTGTTTCAAAAACCCTGAGTGAAATCATGGTTAACGGTCTATTAAATGTCACCTTTTCTATACAACATACAAGAACACCTTCATATATTTTTATCTAGTACAGGTTTACAGTGAGAACAAAAAACTAACCTGTTCTTTATAGAAATATCCTTTTCTTAAACTGATTATTGTACACCACCCACTTTTTGTAAGATGGGCGGCTATATCAGTTTGATTAATAAATTAATTAATTAACTAAAAGAGAGCACTCACACAATATTCCTTTCCAGACACGTTATGCAAGGCTCAAGAAAGGAATCATAAGCTAAAGAAATTAAAGAGGTAAGGGAAAAAAGAAACACGGCCGCATTTAGTTTATAACAACATCTTTCACTACTCCTCTCAATACTTTTCTATCCTTGCAAACTATTCCTGCTGCCACCTTCATTCATTTCTCAATGATCTCTTGAAGAGCAAAAATCTGTTCTGCACCCAGCTATCCTTGCTAAAGCCTCACTGGATTTTCCATAAGTTATTCATTGTTACCTCTCATAGCCCTTCTCTGCAAACACCTTCCCAGGCACACTTAAGAAATTAATCTCTCTGTATTTTTTGCATTCCTTCGTGCTACTATTCGCTTGGTGTAAGGATACCACAGCAGCCTTCTTCCAATTGTCAGGCACAAATACAGTCTTCACCCACACATTAATCCAGTTGCGCAACCGCTCATAAAAATCCAATAACCCAGTTTTAATGTTTCTCCAGTTACATCATCCACACCTGTAGCTTTGCCATTTTTCATTATTCTCACGGTTCTTACAGCCTTCTTTTCGTCCATTGTTTCTTTTGACACTAGTCTGCCATCATCCCTTCACTTCAGCTTCATCACAATTCATTTGTTATTTTTATTTTAAAGCCATTCATTCCTTATCACCTGTTTCCAGGCCAACTTTTTACTATTGTTAAAATTGTTCTGCATTTTATCTGCTTCTTTCAATCTTGAACAGTCCTTGCTCTTTGACCACATTTTTGCAAATATTTCCTCTACTTATACATGTTATAGAATGTATTTCTCTCATCCTCATTTTTTGTGACAGGCACTCCCATGCATTTTTTTCTCATATACAGCCTCTTTCAGTTTATCATTTCTCCAAACATTTTTTTCACACTTCCCGTTAGTGTGATTCCAAAATCCTCCTGTGATACTGTGTGATTTAATACTTTTCATTCTCTTCCAAGCACTCTCCTCTTCCCACTTCTCATGCCTACTTTCCATCTTTTTTATGGAGAGATTCATTTATCTTATACTTTTTTTGTGCAGGAGTCTTACTTTCTGTCTTTCATTGTACTTTTTCTTCACTTTTTTTTCACTTTTTTTCTTTCATGTCCATTTTTCCCCGCAATTCACCAAATGTTAACATCACCAAATAACTGTGTGGTCCACATTTGGCAGCAATAATCATTCCTGAATCCTTAATTCTCTCAAACTTTCATCATACAAAATCAAATCAAGCATACTTAGATATTCATTGCCTTTCCATGTGCATGCACAAACCAACTAAGTTTCAAATCACACATTCAAAATGAGCACACTTTTTTCTAAGCATATATTCTCCACTCACTATTCTCACTCATGCTTGGGTCTCTGAAAGGCCCAATAATGTTTTCTGTATTCTCATCTTGTTCCCACTCATCCCTTCATGCCACTTAGCAGATGCTGTGGTCATCATCAGATGGACCCATAGATATTGATTGCTACCTCCCATCATTCCCTGCTTATAGTGAGGATACTACTAGTCTGTTTTGGCACAATTTGACATACTGCAAGCACAACCAAAGCCCAGTTTTAGCCCAAACACGTTTACTCTATTCTGTGCAAACTAGGATCTTTAATTTAGAAACTGCAAAATGATTAGGAGATACATGCAGTATATTCCCACACTTCAGAATATATTAAGCAAAATGTTTTTAGCTTTTTTTAAAAAAAAATATCCAGGCTTGGGGTTTGGATTTGTTAAATTAAGTCTCATTTCAGTTTTTATATGTGCATCTGTACAGTAGTCTGGAATGGAGTTTGGTTTTTACACTTTTTCTCTGCTTGAGGTTTGGAATTGTTAAATTAAGTCTTATTTCTATACAGTAGTTTGAGATGTGCAGGATTGCATAAGACCAATGAAAGGCCAGTGAGATATAATGGTTAGTCCAGAGGCACCCACAGAAACCATATAAAAATAAAAAAACAAAGATAAAAACCCATAGTTCAGTTTCTACACTTTTTCTTCAATCCATTATTACTGTCCTTAAGTTGAGTATTCTTGGACATGTCAAGTGAGAAAATGTCCATCATGGACTTGATAAAATGAAAAGAACAGAATTTACTTGTGAATGCTAGCAGCATAAACCAGATAAACAAATGGCCGGACTTCAGATGTAATTTTCAATACTGTTTAGGTTGCCATATAAATACTTTATAAATGTAAGGGGCAGAAGAAATAACTTTGAGGAACAGGAGGAAAAGCCGCAACCAGGACAATGATCAGATAAAAGAAATCTGAGTCTGGGCCAGAAATGTAATTTGAGAAAGTTCTCAGACATGACCCTCCCTCGCACTCATGAAGAAAAAGGGAGGAAAGGGGGAAGTATATTCAGACTTGCAAGATTCTGTTACTATAACCTTATAATAGAAGTAGTATTAGCTTTCATGTCTTTGGTTTCCAATTTTGGTTTACCTTGGAGAGCTGACAATAAAGTATGATGAAATTTAGAAGAAAATCTGGTATAGACACTACAGTTCACTATTTTAATTGACTTTTGGATTCCCAGACAGGCCCACACATACTGCAGATGTAATCAAAAGGAGAGAAAAAAGGGTGATTCTCTGCCATTCTTCAGCTATCCATTGGTAGACAGATGACTCTTTTCTGAACTGAAACATGATAAAACTTTTCCCTTCTCCCTATCCTATGTGTATGTATGTATGTATGTGGAAAGTCTATAGGGCAACATGAAATGACTCTCGCTTGGGAGAATGAAAGATTGTGAGTTGCAGCACATCATTTCCTGAACATGGATAGAAGTGCTAAGATGAACCATCTCTAGCGTGCCCATATGCTAGTATCACAAAAAGTTTGCTCTTTGCCATACCGCTGAGAAACAAAGGTAGAGGTGAGAAGGATGGTGTTGTCATTGGCTCTCAACCATATTGTATTGTTGGAAAGTATCTTTAAGATTCCAAAATGTTGACCCTCTCGCTGTCTGAGTGCAACTGAATTATTCTTACAGGCTCGAAAAGCAAAGAGGCAAAATGACTTCTGGGGAAGTTGGGGAGAATGGGGTGAATGCAGCCGGAGCTGCGGTGGGGGCATCAGTCTTCGGCAACGGCACTGCTACTCACGGAGGTAATAACTGTTTCTTTCCAAGTCGGTTTCCTACTCCTTAAGTTCTATCATCTACAAGAAAGGTTAGAACAGATCTTGTATGGAAAATTAAGAGGAGTCTTGTGAAACATTAGGCAGATTTCTTGGGCCATAAGTTGCCCATCCATTTGATGGAAGATGTTTTGGCCCTCTTTTGTTCCTACATGGTGCTTGCCTCAGTTAGCAGATAGGGACACATTTAAATATATTGGGGATCTGGGTGACTGCAAGGAGTGACAACATAAGGGAATGAAATACATGAAGTAGAGGATGTAAGCATCATATCCCAACTTAGTATTGAAAGTAAATATCCTGGTATTAATAAGGTCATTAAAGAACTGTCACATGGCATAGCAATTCAGTCATTGTTTGATTAAGAACCTTTTTGGATAAATTAATCAATTGTTGGCTTGAATTTAGCCTCTACTCTAAGCCACTAGACCCTTTTGGGTAATCCCTTTTGGATTTCTCTTCCCATCAGCAGTTTGAAAGGGAAGAAGGTATTAGCATCAATATTGGTTTTCCTTACAGATTTGTTGAAAGGATTACAACATGTTCTGAACACTACACAAATACCGCAAAGGTAATAATAACAGCAAAACTATAGGGGGATGCAACTGTTATTTTGATTCTGGCCACAAGGGATAGAAGATAAGTTATATTTCCACAGTTTTAAGTTGGAAAGTCTCTCTGAAGTTTGTTCAAGATTGACAATTTTGAGATCAGCAGCAAAATCCTGGAAGGACCAAACGTTTTCTGCAGATGTTACCTTTCTGTTAAAAGAAGACAGGTAGAGAGAGGGGGGGGAAACTGATTATTTGGGAAAATAGCACAAAAACATTTATTTTCCCAGTAGTTTGGATTTGGTGGCTTCCCAGGTCAATGCCAGTCTGAGGTTTGGAATAGCTTCCCACTCATCATGATGCTAGAGTTTTCATGTTTTCCTGCTCTATTTTACTCCACTCCAAAACTTCCAAGAGTGGGCATCATTGTGACATTGCCTGAGAATTCTAGATGTTTTAAATGTAATTAATTAAATTTTATTTTTAAATTGTTTATACCTTTGTAATTGTACAATCACAGAACATTTTTAATCAGCCTGGTAGTCTGATGGTGGAAAATTAACTTGGAAATTGCTCATGGCTCTTCTATGTATAAATATCTTTACAATAACCAGATCTAAACTGTGATAGGATCTCCCCACTACTATCAAAATGAAATTCTGTATGAGTACTGCTTTGTTTGCAGACGTCGTAGACATAGCAGAGACATTGTAAGCATGCCATCATTTTGCAGACACTAACAAAAGACTAGATGTTACACCTATGTAGTAATAAAAATGCCAGAGCCTTGCATGCCAGGGCAAGCAGAGCTGCACCCATTAGATGCAATGTTCTGGAGGATATGTACTAGTCTTGTATAAACAAGGCCAGACATTAAAAGTGTTGAATGCTACCATAACAATGTTTTTCAGAATCAGTTTGTCCTAGGGTATTGCCAAATTACTACATATGCATTCTAGATGAAGATCTCTCCCATTAATTCCCTCTTCTTTTTTTCTTTTTAACCTTTAAATTTGCACACAGAGAGAACTTAAAGCCAAGACCCTCAATAATAACATGCCTGAAGATCTCACTGCTATATTTTAGTAAACGTTGCTGGAAATATCTGGTTTTTGCTATTTTTTTTTAACCAGGGAGTGTCCTGTTCTTTTCTTTCTTTAAAATCAGGGAGAAGCATGTTGCTTACCTATAACGATTGAAAAAGACATAATCTGGAGCTTAAATTGCTTCCATTGCAATCAGGGTAATAACTTTGATCAGGCCTGTGAAGAGCTCTCTCTCTCACACATGCACACAATGGGATATTGCTGTGAGAACAAGGTATTGTGAGAAATGGTAAAGAGATTATTAGCATTTTCCCATTCTGATAATTGAACAGTGAATTGCTAAATGCATTTAGAAAAACAATTTTAAAATTAACCATAAAAATGAACTTTTCAGAAAATAGACAGGAACACAGGGTCACTTTTCCCCAGTCTTGCAGCAAGCAAAAGTATGCCAGATACTTGCATAACATTGACCCTCCAACTCAGAAAAGTAGTCTTTGCAACTTAAAAGCTTATATTCTTTGTTTAGTCCATATAAGAGTATTATTTTTCTGATCCTCTCATTTTTACTATTGGACCAATATTTGAGTGATGCTGTTACAACCCCCACCAATACTGTAGGCAATTTGTGAACTGAAAAAAATCTATTTTCACATAACAGAAGTGATGCCTGCAGGGGAGACCTTTGGTTCCTGTCCAATAAATAACCACTATGGCCTTATTATGATAAAATTTAGATCCGCCTTCCCCAAAATGGGGAAGGGATTGCAAATGTTTTTGGGATTCCAAATCCAGAACTCCCAGCTGTATAGCCAGAGAGGGGAAAGCTCATGGAATCTAGAAAAGTCCATAGATGTGAGAGTTTATTTTCCAAAGGTGCAGCTCTTTGGAATAAAGTCACTGAATTCAGTAGGATACCATACAAACACTGAATTCTTTCCTATTTGTTCACCTGCCTTTTCAGCCAGAATTGGCATCAGAGGAAACCTGAAGCAAACTGTGTACTTCCCACTGCAGTGACTTCACGTGAGGGCAACCAACCACATTAAGAAATTGCTCACTTTGCACAACATGCTTACATGCAGCAGGATTCTATGATGGTCCATATCCTGTTGTACCTAGTAGTCTGTTCACTAATGAATTTTGTTGGTGAGAAAAATAGGAACTCTACCCCAGCCTGTCACATATGGAGATTTACAGTCCTGATCCCTTTTAAGATTCTGTCATGAGTCATAGTAGTTGCAGATTAACAGCCTTACTTGGCACCATCTTCTGCTTCAAGTTGAATAGGAGTGCTATTTCACAAGCAGTTCCCATATGGCTAGGTTGGAGATTAAATTGCTCAAACCATATGGGTGGGGATGAATGATGCAGTAATTCTTTGCGGTTAATGTATTAGTGAGACCACTTTACCACCCACTTGGGTTATTTAAATGGTACCCAAGGCTTCCAGAATAGAGTTCTTGTGAGGCTTAGGTCATATTTAAGAAAGTTTGATAGTTAAATTACACCTTACCTGTCAGTTTGGTGCTCTGAGAAGGAGATGGCACTCTTCCCGAAGAAGAGAAAGAAGCCTGAATGTTGAAACTAATCCATAAGATATATCTTGAGGGAGAGGGTCAGTTGGTGCTAAGAGAGAATTGGTTCTACTGTACTTCAAGACAGCATTGACTATCCAAGAGTCTCACAGTCCTTCTGGTTCAACCCTGCATTACAAATTTGCAATCCTAATTTGCAAACAGTGTTTCAGCTACAATTTTCAGTTCAGAAAACATAGACAATTATTTTAACTAAGGAAGAATTTGAATTCACTTGAATTTTTCAAGTGAATATTTGAGAGAAGAAAGAAGGATGTGGATTCATTACTTCTTTCAGCTGTAACAAACCATAGTATGTTGAAGCCTGGGAACATTATCTTTGAGGCAGGCTTCTTTCCTTCATTTTACAGGATTACTGACCTTTTAAAAAGCTAACCTAAACTCCTACCACTTGGAGAAATGGGGAGTAAGGACATTTCCTTGACAACTACTGCCTTGTTAGAAATATTAAAAATGATCTGGCAAAATATGGTTCTGGCATTGCTAATGCTTTCCAGGCTATCGCTGACTGTTACTGTGTATTTCAGGACAGATGGTGGCTCCAGTTGCATAGGATCAACCCAAAGTTATCGCTCATGCAATATTCAGGTAATTTATTTATTTGTTTCTTAAAATATTCGTAACTGTCCACTTATCATAAAAATGTTCCAGATCACAGCCTTGCTATTCCTTTCTGCACCTTCATGTTGTCTTCAAGACGTAACCATTACAGGAGAAGAGCCATGTTAGTCTATATTAGCCAAAAATCAGGAGGAGTCTGGTAGCTCCTTTTCAGACTAACACATTTTATTTAAAAGGCATAAGCTTTGGTGAGCTATAACTCATCAAATGCATGGAGTGATTAGACTAATGTAGGATTTGGGATGAATCACATTGCATTAATCTAACTGAGTGTTTACCACAGCATGAATGTCTATGGCCAGGCCATCTCTGTCCAGGAAACTTGCAACTAGCAGGCCAATCAGCAGGCCAAATGTAGTCTATGACACTGAAGCCCATTTGGGCCTCAAGTGACAGAGATGAATCCAGGAGAATTCCAAGGCTGCCCCAGCTTCTTCAGGAGGCATTCAAAGCCAGAGATGTGTCCAGTTCTTTCACTTTTGAGCCATGAATTTACAACATGGCCATCTGATGAGGATTCACTCATGCTTAATTAACCCTTTTCCTTATTGACCTTTCAATGTCCAATGCTGGTCCAGTATCTAAACTGTATCATCTAACTTGAATGACAAATGGAAAATAGAGTTGGGCCTGCTCTACCAACTGTTGACCCCCAACCTCACCAAAGATTGAAAAACTGTTAGGTAGGGTATCATTCATATCTCTGTAGGCAAGCTATTCCAAAGTATTGTGTTGTAACAGTGAGAAATAGCGTGCTCTAATCCCCTCTCCCCTGATCTCATATATAGGAGAACATTTTCAGCACCCTCATTTTTGACAAACCAAATAGGTCAGTTCAACCTGAAGTAGGCAGTCCTCTAGATTTAATACCTAGATGCCAAGCCACAAAAGGTTAAACTAGCACTTTGAGTTGTATTCATAAGCCCACAATGCAACACCTGCAAAACTAGTGTTACGTGATGCTGGTGACTCTCACCCACCAGCAGTCAGGAAGCTACATTTTGCAACAACTGCAGCTTTGAGGTTGTCTTCAAAGGCAGCCCCATATACAGCACATTGCAGTAGTCAGTTTGAGAGGCAAAGAGGATACAGCTAATTGCTGCTTGCTCATTATAGTGCAGGATGTGTTGCAAGTGGTATCTCAGACAAAGCTGGGCAAACTCTCTATAGCTGTAGCCTCCACCTGTCTATCTAACAACAGCTGTGAGTCCAAGAGTATCCCCAGATTGCAAACCTGTACCTTCAGGAGAAGTGCTTTGCCATCCAGAGTTATTACTGGGACACACAAGAAGAGAAAGAGAAAATGACTGGGGAGAGATCATCTGGACCTTTGATGTATATAGGCAAGCCCTCCTTGTTCTTTCCTCCTTCTGTCACTGTTCTGCCTTTGCATATGTGAGACTCCCCCACCAACACTGACAGGGCAAACTACTGTATATAAACAGAGAGCAAACCCCACTCCCTTCTAGCACTGAAGATGTTACCTAGCTGGGTAACAAAACATCTGCAAGAAAACAACCAAGCTCAAGAACCCCAAGGATTTTTGATAGCTATCTGATGTATAGGATTTTCAATCTTTCTTGTGCCACAGAATCATAAATGGATGCCTTATTCATAAATGGTGTGAAAGAACTCAAAAATGTGTTGTGTAGTCTCCCCTGAATGTACTCCACTTTCTGGTGATTCTTGAAACTTATGGTATTCAAATGGTATTCAACATCTGTGATAAATAGGGGGAAACTGAAGGTGTGAAGATAATTGGCAAAGTGTTAATATGGAACTCTGAATGGATGGGAGTTGGAAATCTGTATAATTTCAGTCATTTTATGGAATTAGATGGTTGGGCTAAAGTCATCTAATAAATGTGAACCCAGCTATCTTTGATCCAGAAATCCATTCACTATACCAGTTTTAGTACGATGGTGGTGATATTCAGTTTTTGGATCGATTGATTGATTGATTGATTGATTGATTTAGCTGCTTGGCTCTCAATTACTCTGGGCAGTTCACAACAACCAAAGAAATTTATTTATTTATTTATTTATTTATCAATCAAATTTATATAGCCACCCGTCTCACTTAAACGTGACTCTGGGCAGCTTACAATAAAACAGTTAAAAACAAGTATAAAACAACCATAAAAAACAATGAAACATAAATATAAATAACACCATGGGAGAATGGACCAACATCCTACACACAATGTAACCATCCTGCAGGTTCCCTATTTCCATGGAATCCCCAAGCCTGCTGAAAAAACCACGTTTTAAAAGGTTTCCAGAAGGACAATAGGGTCGGGGCTAAATTACAGTAAAATCAATAAAGCATAAAAAATAAAAAATAAAGATAAAAGAAGGCAGCATATAAGCAGCAGATCCTCACTTGGGGGAAAATATAGAAAATATACAACTACACTCTGGAGTGTTTTTCCAAATCAATTGCTTCTGTGCTTCAATAGGTCCCCTATTTTGGATAATAGATTTTCTCTTATTTTCCCTAGGACTGCCCTGAGGGCTCCAGAGATTTTCGAGCAGAACAATGTGCTGAGTTTGATGGGACAGAATTTCAGGGGAAAAAATACAAGTGGCTCCCTTACTATGGAGGTAGTCTATTGATTCCTATTGCCTGACTCTTCACAGTGAGTGACACACAAAATCTGGGTGAAAATGATATGGCTTCTTATAAGGGGAAAATATCTACTGACATTCCCTTACTGGGAATATCTATCTAAACCATTTTAACCTATCCTTCCATTTAAAATGCAGCAAGCAACAGATTTTTACAAATATCAGTAATTTTAAAAATTGCTGTTGTCAGAATAAAGGACACATTCACCGGGGGGGGGGGTTGTATAGAGAAGGAGAAGGGAAAAGCATGATCATATTCAAATTCTTAAAATTCCTGGGATAAAAAACAGCCAGTCTGTTTACCAACTGATGGGTGGAGAAGTTTGGAGAAGTAAAGGAATCACCCTGCTTTGTTTCTCTCTTTTGGAATACAGCTAGGTCTCGAGTAGGGTGGATAATGAATCCCACAAAGTGATCGGATTATTTGAATTTTCACTATTCCAAGTGATATTTCTTTGGAAAATATGGTAATTGGTTCCAGCTCGACAGAAATAGGCAGTGAAAATGTTTAAGCATAAATTCTTACATGTTTATTAATGAAATATTACAATAAAGGATTCAAAGAATATACTTATAATTTAAATTTATGGTTAACAAAGTCATAGAGTAGTTATAGAATGCAAAATAAAAACAAAAAATTCTAAATATCTTTCTTAAAGGTAAGTTTACTTAATTTTTAAATTGATCAAACTAATCAACACTTGCATTAAATGTTTCTTCTACTTCATTATTTTGTTCTTTCACTCTCTTAAACAAATTTAAAGCTTTTGTCTTGATGGCTGCTCTGCTAAGGGGAATGCATTTTTGACTGCCATCCTCAATCGATACAGATGCTCTCTTTCTATCATTGTAACACTTCTATTCCTTGTAGATGTTAGCAAACCACAAAAAATAATGCAACTTTACCTTTTTATTCCCCCTGCATGTTTTATAATATTGCGTATCATCAATTCAGGCATTCCAACATCTCATCCTATTTTAGAGTTGCTAGGACCACATTTATGTCACTCAATCACATCCAATTTTTGTTCTAATTAGTCTCTTCTTTTTTGAGTTTCTAGTGCAGTGTTTCTGAACCTTAACAACTTTAAGATATGTGGGCTTCAACTCCCAGGATTCCCCCCCCCCCCCCGCCTGCGGCGGGGGGGGGGGG